CCTCTGGTATTTCAGAAAAGCAGCATTTACGCATTCTGGAAGAAGCTTTTGGTAGTAGCCAACCCCATGTTTTACACCATCATATACTATGTGCAAAAAACAGCTGTAAGTCGCTATCCTCCAATGAAATAAGCAGGCAGTTGCCTTATGTTTTCAAGCATGACTGGATCGATGATGACATTGTATTCTGCGGTAAAAGTGGTGTATGGTGGCATTTAAAGAGGGCGAGGGAATGTTTTGTTGTCTTTGTAAGAATGCATATTAAAACAGGCCAAAATGTAAAATATGCTACTGCGCCCGGTACACGTTACAGGAAGGCCGCAATATCAGTGCATGGCAATTCAGAAGAACACAAGCAGTCAGTAAGGCTTCTTCAGCGGGCATCGTGGTTACAGAAAGAAATAGGGAAGAAAGCTGAAGTGGCTGATGAGGTAGTAGTACAGGCATTTGCAGCATTCTACTTCGTTGCGAAAGAAGAGATTTCAAACATGAAGGTTTTGCCGCTTTTAAAATTTCTCACTTAGTCTCACACCGAGTTTAACATTTTTGTGTCAGTGAGGGTTGTGTGCCAACCTGAAATAAAGGGCACATGCTAGAAATAAAAGAAAACTTGATTGTGTGAAGGTTATTTTTATACTTTGGGACAGCGCTGACGTTAGCATAACCGACGTGGTGCAAAAGTTCAAATTACCGCTTATCCTTTGCAGACCGTCCAACATTAACCAAATGCTTTACTGGTTTGAAAAAGTCCCTTACCTGTTGTGCTGAAAACTAGGGAGAACCCTGAGCATACCACCAGTCGCCCAGCAGCCTGCATACCACATCAAATCCCACCATCCGGTGGTTCAGTCTAGATTTTTCCAGATTTTTCGATCAGCAGTGTGGTCAGAAATAAATTTAGCCTAACCCTAATAATAGGGGGACACAATGGATTATGCAGTTCAAGATTGAGCCCTGGCTGAGGGAAGACACTTTACTCCCACAGTGCCTGTCTCTGCCCAGATGTATTAATGAGTACCAGCAAATTTAATGCCTTGGGTAAACAAGCCTTGGGTTATGCAGTCCGGGTTCAAGCCCTGGCTGGGGTCATTGTGTTATGTTCTTAGGGAAGACACTTTACTCTCAGATTGCCTGTCTTCAGTTCACCCAGGTGTATAAATGAGTACCAGCAAATTTAATGCCTTGGGTAAATGCATCCCATCCAGGGGAGAACACATGGCTTCATGCTACAGAAACCTGAGTTAAGCACTGCCCTGATGGGCCACTGGGCTGGAATGCAGACTTAACCTTTACCCCTATTACACAAGCCTAAAACTAACCCTATTCCCAAAGGCTGACTGTTTTGGCCAGAACATCTGGGGTTAGTTTAAAGATAAGTATTAGGGCTAAGGATCAAGGTTGGTCTGCAACTTAAACTGACTACACCATCACCATTGATGGAAACTATGGAAAAAATCTGGACTGGGATGGGGCTGGTGCCCAGGGGGGGTACTCCGCATAAAGGTCTACCTGAGGTTTCGCCCTAAAGGAGTACCTTTTTCAGGCTTCAGGTACATAAAAGGGTGTATTTCACAAGCTGAGGTATATGAAAGGGTAGGGAAATCTGTCATTTAGTCATTTAAATAGGCCCTTTAATTAAAATATTTCAAACAGATGCACCTTTGGCACAGTTGATCACAATATATTAAAATACTATGGGATTTGTAGGTCCAGCCATCAATGGTTTGCCTCTTATTTAGATAATCGAACTCAAATAAATTACATTAATTCCTGTAAGTCAACCCCAATGTTTCTGAGATGTGGTGTTCCTCAAAGAACAACTTTGGGATCTCTTTTGTTTTTCATCTATTTGTTATCCCCCAAACAGCACAATGAGCATCCTCACCAGTACCGTCCAATAATGAAGGCTTCATTTCACAGTCACGTTATATCCTGTGACACAAGGTATCTATTCTCTATTTTCGCATATCATTATTTCTATGTTATGACGACACAATGCATTGTACGGTATTGTCTGTGGGAGACGTCTCGATATCACGCATGATAAGGAAATAGCATGTTTCTTCACGTTAAAATTATCCAATTTTCAAAGACCCGGTACTAAAGTAAGGAATACTGCAGCATGACCATGAGCTCGATCTCTTTTTATATTAAAAAGCGATGACAACAAACGTTAAATCCGTGAAATAAGCGTCCAGTTTAAGCTTTACCGCCTGAACAAAACATTCAACTAATTAACTATGCGGACGCCAAGCTCGCAGCTCAAATATTATGCTCAATTTAATATGGAGACCCTCAAGCGACTTAGAAAACAACTTCGTTCGAGGAATCGAAAGAATCAGAAACGTAAGCTACATGTGGGTTAAGCGAAATCAGAGAAATCAAATCGAACCTCATTTGGGAGGAGTTAATTAAATAAGATTATGATTCTTAACAGCCATGAATAATATAATCTAAGTAAGTTATTTTAAACTTACCTTGGGTCGACCTGTTATCTAGTCCAAGATCACCGTTGTCTCTTGTCGATAAAGCACTTTGCTGCAGTTGTTGCAGTAGTGTTGTTTCGACTCCATGACCGCCATGCTCAACATTGCGCTGAATATTTTGAGCACGTGGAAGAGGAGAACCGCATTGTGGACACCACTTAAACTGAGGAAGCAAGGCTGTGTTTCCACAGTTAGGACACTGCATCCTCTCTGCAAATCATTAGCAAAACCTTGATAGCGGTTAAAGCCTTAAATGCCTGATAAATGTTACTTGGCGAACACTTTTAAGCGAGACACTCGACTCGCTGCTGCTTCTCAGAAAGTGCCGACAGAAACAATGTTGTCACTTTTCCCCGAAATGCACCGGATGTGGCAGATGTTGTTATGTAAGCTGGCGGGAAAATTCCCGCGCCAAAAATAGATCTTTTACTGGCGTCACGTTAATAAATGTCAACTGGTCTCACAAGAGTTAATTTATCGACTGCTGTCATGCCTTTGAGAGTAAATTTTCAAATATGAACATTCACTTCGGTCGTCACATAAAAATAAGATATTGTCCCCGCTTTTTACGCGTATCGAATCAAATCGGACAAGTCAACCGAGTTTCCGTTTGCCTTCCAGTTTCAATGACAACAAGACCGAAATATGCAGATTTATCCTACAGGGTTTTATATCAAATTGCCTTCTTGTAAAAAGTCCCGGGGACAGATCCCCTGTGTGAACAAAATGTTATCGAAAATGAAAATAACAAGTAATGAACATCGGGCATTTTTATTGAGTCAGAAGTCCATAATAACTTATTATGACGTCAAATCGTGGACAAAATGTTCATCTCGTCGTCTCGTCACTTCAACTTGTCATCTCGTCGTGT